GAAAATTTATTAATTTATGTGTAAAATATTTTATTGTATGAATATATAGAAGAGAATGATCCCGTGACAAATAATTTAAATTTTTAAAGGTTGACAAATAGGAGCTTATTTTTACCTATCCTCTGAAGTTTGTACAAAACTTCAAATTAGTCATCAAAATAATTTTCTTATGTGGAAATTATATATTCTAATAGATTAAAAATCTTCATTTCATAAATAAGATGTCATGTTTAGTATTTCACAAATTAGAATTTTTTTTAATTAATTTATATATATAAAAATCAATTAAGCAATTTCAAACCTTAATTATATCAATTCCATCTTTCTCTCTCTCACAATTCCTTTGATTCTCTCTCTCTCTCTGTGCCAAAACGCTCCGTCGAAGATCACTCGTTCCCTCTCTCCTCAAAGTTCCCACTTACTTCTTCTCGTTCAGCACTGGACGACGCCACCTTCCTCTCGTCCGACGCCACCTTCCTCATTTCTTAGATTTGGTTTTAAGTCAGTAAGGGCAGTGGTAGAAAAGGTAATTGGTTTGGGGAATTTTTCGTGGATATAGTGGTTGTGGTGTAATGAAGATGGTGATGGTGGTGACAGTGCGGTGGTGGTGACGATGGTTGGTGGTACAGGTGATGGACACCATTCGCTTGAGATCTGGATGTTGTTTCGCCTGTTTTTGCGATGTGTGTAGGCGACATTAGTGTGCGGTGGTGGTGGCTAATCTGTGGATTTTTTGGTGGGTGACCTTGGGGAGGTGGTTGTGGTATTGTGTAGATTGAGATAGAGGAGATGGCGGTGGTGGTGTTTTGGTTTTCCCGATGCTGTGTTGGCGAGACAGTGGTTGTTTGGCGGCGATCGTAGATTCATTAGTTGATTGTGACCGTTCAATTAGTTAATATGTGACCAATGTGACCAATAAAAAAGATAATTTGTGATCAAAAAATAATTTGTGACATAAAAAAGTAATAATTTGTGATTGTTTGATAAGTTGTGACCTATAATATTTGTGATCTGTGACCTCTAAATAAATTGTGACATATTAATTTTTCATCTGTGACTGACGAACAAATTGTGACTTACAAAAGTTTTGAATTATGACCGTAAAATAATTTGTGACATAAAAAAGTCTGATTTGTGACCGAAAAATAAGTTGTGACTAAAAATTAATCTGTAACTAATTATTTTTTTGATTTGTGACCAATGATCAAATTGTGACCTACAAAATTTTTGAATCGTGATCGTAAAAAAAAATTGTGACATAAAATTTTTGATTTGTGACAAAAAAATGATAAGTAACTAATTAAATTGTTAATTTGTAACCAAATAGTATAGATCTATGACCTAAATATATTTAATTAATAAACTAATTAAATCATAAATAAATTTTAATATAAATCTGATTTTTAAAGTTTGAAACTTATTTTTCTTAATTTTGAAATATGTGACACTTGAGTTCTTACTTATGAAATTTACCTTTTCTTATTTTGTTAGTGGTTATGAGTAATTCCATTCATTGGACAATTAATGGATGTTACGTCAAAATAAATAGACAAGATTTTAATTTAGATTTTAATTTATTTTTCTTCTTTTATAATGTACAATAATATAGACTATAGTCTATACAATGGAACAAGTTATAAAGTAAGCCAACTTCGAATGTTGCCCCTCTACTTGCTCATGGGCCTGTTGGGAAGTGATTATGAGAATTAACTTTTTGATCGTTAGAAACAAAAGTGAGTTTTATCAATGAGTGGAGAAGTAAAAAATGACGGCTGACTTAGGAAAATAATGATCAAAAAATTAATTTTTTCGGGTGAAAAATCAAAACCAAACGTGAGCTATATATGTGAGATTGCAATAAATTACAATTTTAATTGATTTTTTTCCTTTATTATAGTTCATTATCTTTCATTAAATTTTAATTAAACTTTACCTCTTAAAACGTGTACATGAAAGGGTAGCGTGCCATTTTGAAGTTAGATTCGACAGTTTCTTTCGTATATGGACAATAGCGAATGCACCTATTTTGCTTATTTTTAAGTATTTGGAGGTCAAATTGTAACTCAATCAAAAGGTTGAGGCCTAGTAGTGCAAATTTCCCCTCATAAAATTGGTGAGAAACATATTTGCGATGTTTTTTTAAGGGTAATTGGCACAAAACGTCCATATCTTTCAATTTTTGACATTTTCACCCTACCTTTCACATTTTATTGCGTAAAATGTCATTTTTATCCATTTTTGACGATTTTAACCTTTTATTTAAATAAAACAAAAACAAAACAAAAGAAAAAACAATGAACTAATTGCAATCAAAGTTCCAAAATTTCAAAAAATTACAAATGAGTTAAAAATATATTCTTTAAAAAAAAAAAAACCTTTATTGTCACTTGCCATCAGAATTTCAAATAAAATTATAAAACTTTTAGAAATTCGAAAGACGGCGCACATACATTGTTGTCGCCTGTCATTTTTCTCTTCACCGAAAGTTCTTAATAAACTTAAAATTCAAAATTTTGGAACCAGAAATCAAGTAAATGAAAGCAAATGAGCAAAGAGTCAAAGAGAAGCGACGACGAAGAACTGGTGGCTCCATCCCCGACATCCTCATAAAATCGGAAGTCCTCAATTGGGTCTACTACCTTCGGGAAGAAAGTCATAATAAAGAGCTCCGACATAAAGAGGACATTTAGAGAGAGGCTATTGACATTGCCATAGCTGTAAATTGTTTTCATTTCACTCAAAATAAGAAAAAATAAGTAAAATCCACTAATTTTCCCCCTAGTTTTTGTTTTTTTTTTTTATGTTGACTTCCATGTCTTGAAAAGCATTGTTTTTACATATAGAACTATAGATTCACATGTATAATTTATTGAAATTTATCAATATTTCAATGCTCTCCAATTTGGTGGGTTAAGAATAAAGTTTTTTTTTCTTTTTTTAGTTGTGATTTTATGAATATATTTTTAACTATTTTGTAATTTTTTGAAATTCTGGGACTTTGTTTGCAATTAGTTCATTGTTTTTCTTTTCTTTTGTTTTATTTAAATAGAAGGGTAAAATCGTCAAAAATGGATGAAAAGACCTTTTGTGCAATGAAAAGTGGAGTGTAGGGGTGAAAATGTAAAAAAATGAAAGGTATGAACATTTTACACAATAATATTAAAAGGTAGAGACGTTTTGTGCTAATTACCCCTTTTTTTAATATAACTTTGTTTGATTTTCATTCTTCTCAAAATATATTTTTCTCTTTTTTTTTTCAGCCACACATTATTCACTAAAATAATATTACACGTAAATAAAATAAAAAAAATTCCTTATTTTTCAACTACATATTTCCCATCAATCCACTATTCGAAAATACATTTTTCATAAAAATGGGATTTAAACACCCTTTATATAAGATTCGGCATCATGGAACAACACAAATGAGTAACTATGTGCATAGTTAATCTATATAGAATGTTTGGCGATACTCGGGCCGAGCCCCATTTCAGGGAGTCGGCTCAAGCTGGCCTACTTGTAAAAAAGAAAAAATGGAGTAAAAATCTACTACCTGTTTGGCAGCTATTTTTAACTGCCAATAGCTGTCAAACAGGCAAATAAACTGCCTTAAAGTTGCCTGCTGCAAATTTGTTGCCCGTTGAGGCAGCTATTTTAGAAAAAAAATAAAAAAAAATTTAGAAAATTGAGCTCAGCCCGACTCGGCTTGGCTCAGTAAGGCCTGAGCCAAAACCTCAAATCGAGCCTTAATTTTTTGATCGAGCTTTTGCTCGGCTTGTTGACACCCATATATATATGCACTTAAGAAAATTTTCCTCATTTATTTTTAACACCTCATTTGTATGTAAATCATTATTTAATTTGTTATGCACAAGTATCATTATTCTTTTATGCTTTGACTTTCAGTATTAGCGAAGGAGTTATATACCAGACAAGAGAATCACTTATATTTATAATTGGGTTCACTTATTTAGCTTGATTTATACTTGACTTTGGAGACATTACCGAAGAGCGCACGAGGAAACAATATATCTGAACACATCACACTGAAATAGCTTATTTCTCTTACAAGAATTAATAATAATGTTGACCTCGAAAATTGGTTCTTCCACGTGGCCAATCGAGAGTTACTCCACGTATTCCTCTCTATGCACAATCAGTGAATGGTCAGACGCACATGGCCGGGACCAACGACGGTGGTGGCGTCCGTATATACTCCGACGATCAAGTCAGGTTTAAGTGGTCGGAACAGTATCCAGGGACTGTACAAATCAATGATAATGGGGGAGGAAAAAATATATAAGCTTGCTATGGAGTGCTATGTAGCAAGAGTTTCATTACCTTTGCCTCTTGCCAAACCTTGATTATTTATAGGTGGTATGAGCCGTTGGATGTGGGACACGTGTATACATTTGACGGTATGAGGCGTTCGCTCATAGGCGTCAATCGGCCGCGTCTGTAGAGTTGGCGGACTGCTTGTCTCTTCTGAGTTGAATTAACATAAAATTGATAAGTCACATCATCTAGCCTCATTGAGACGTCAAATCAATTTAAACCTTAGGTACAGGAAAGATCTTGGCATAAATCTCTTTTTGAAATTGGCGGCGGATCCTCTAACCGGGGTCCACTTGGCCTCGGCCTCGGGGCGAGGTACTTTTGGTCAGGTACTACTAGGTTGCAGGTATTGCAGACATCACTTCGGAAACACTTCGAACGGGTCTTTACCAGGTCGGAACATATGGTGGTGAGCGTTCGAGGCGTATCAAATCGGACTCAGATCAGAGCGTAACAAATAATAATAATAAAAAGCTAAAATTAATTTCCTTTTTGGAATCAAATAATGAAAGAAATGTTCACTTTTCACCTACATGGTACATTCCAAATTTTACACACACCAAATCAGCAGAAATTACATATTTTCACTTCAATCTACAATTCATATTGATTATAATCTTATCTTCTTGGTAAGAATGATTTTTTAAAAAAAAAAAGTGATTATTTCAGCATTTCCAGCAAGAAGCAGCCACAATAGGCTTAGATTTCCACCCCATCACCAAGCAGCCCTTTTCTTCCACAACGGTATAGCCTTCAGTTGCATTAATGTTATTCAGCCATCGCCTGGCTTGAGTCAGCATTTTTAACTGAGCTGGCTGAAATCCGGCTCGGCTCATCCTCCGGCGCCATTGGTCGACCCTCTCATGCCTTTCTATCCTAGCTGGCCCCTCACAGCTGACGATGTTCTTGATTTCCTCTCCGAAGTAAAGTTGTTCCATCTTAGCACGTTTCGTGTCATATTTAGGCAGCATAGCATCAAGAGAATCGAAAATTGCTGAATAATAATGTAACGCTTCCATGAATCTTCCTAGAAAGAACGGACCATTGTGGCTCGAGTCCTGCTCGACTAGGACTAAAACCTTCGGGGAGAGCTCGTGGATGATCTGCAAAACTGAGTTCAGTGCGCCTCGACTTTCTTTGACCACACAATGGAGTTGAAGGATGCTGTTAACGACAAGGACTTCTCCGGGAAGTGCCTTGATTTGTTCAGGTTTAAGGTTGTCCAAGTTGCTTTCAACAACCGAAAACTCCAAACTCAGTCCTAGACTTTGCGCATAAGCCTCAAGCTCATTTCCTATGGATTGAAGCTTTTTGGCACACGGACCGATCCCGGTGATACGGAGTCGAGGAAGTGGCCTAGTACGCTTAACAAGGCTCTGGATCAGGCGGCGCCATTGGTAACCGTGTGGTAGGCCAAGGGTCATGCCCAAGTCCACTACATGCACTGAACTCTCTCCCTCAAAGGCTTCCAATATTGAAGAATTGGCTACAAAATGACCAAACTGAATGTGAGGACAAATTTCATAAACGAGGCGTAAAGCCTCGTCATTTCTCTCCAAACCGCTTTCCACAATGTTCATCTTAGACATGCCATAACCAACCGTGCCAAGGGGTTGGACCAGAGCCAACCTATCAGCAAGTCCCTGGACAAAACATGATGCCACTCGCTGGAAGGACGAGCCAAACACCAAAGCATTAGCCCGAAGCTCAGATAATAGAAACGAGGCGTGTGATTTGTCCCTACAAGCCACAGCCTCAGCACAAGAAATGAGCTGTTGGACTAATTTCATTCCATCCTCATTGCTCTTTTCTTCCTTTTCCCCATCCTCGGAACGAATAATGGCTGCTGCTGCCTCCTCCACAGCCTCAGCTGCTAGATACCGTTGACTATACGTCCATATATGATCGCGAAATTGAAGCTTGCTCAAACTACTTGTGCTCTTGGCACGCGTTATGCTGCCACTGCTGGCATTATTTTCAATGAACTCGCCAACACTTGTAGTCCTCTTCAGCCTCTTGAAATCGCCACTTTCGTCTGACAAATTCGGGAACCAGTTGGCAGTGTCATTCTCTAATATGGGCAGGATGGAGTACTTACTAGGAAATTTTCTTCTATTACTGTTTGAACCCTCAGAAAAGAAACTATAGGCCATATATTTACTCTCTCTCTCTCTCTCTCTCTTCTTGAATCTGCAACAAGGCTCTTGAAAGAACCACTTAACAAAAAAGGCAACTTATATAGAAAAAAAAAGAAGCTGCATTTTCTTGTTCGATGAAAACTAAAAAGTTTTGAACATACTATAATGCCAAAGGAAAGCAAGACAAAAAAATGGTTCAAATGGTTGTATCCTATAAGGAAGAAAATCAAGAAAAAAAGTTTACCATTAAAAATATATAATGGGGCCTCCTTTATATATTTAATTTTCTCCATAGTTCTTGCTACTTTATTTTGGAACTATATTTTAGGCATCTTGTTACCTAGTCATTTTCCAGCCTCCTAGGTTAACGCATAGTTTGAATGCCTTAGGATAAGATGAAACCTTAAAAATTTAACTTCTTGGTATAACTTCCTTTGCACTTATATAACTATTTTGATCTTGTCTCATCTATGTTCGGTGTAGTGAAATAGAAAGAATATCGTTAATAATGAGATACTTGTAATATTTTTGGACACTCGAAACAAAGTATAACACATGACATTAGCGCATGTTGTACAAAGTAATGAACAAGATTCAACATTTTCTTTATTTTTCTTAATACTTTCATTACAATCTAATCCACATTATCAAACGTTAAGTTTCGTTT